GTAGGGAAATTTCACCCCCCTGCCCCTGGTTTAAGTGGAACTCCAGAATACCAGCATGAACAGGGTTAACAGACCCTTTTCTTCCTATCAACCTTGTAGCTTTGGTGGTTGCTTCCTTTTAAAGCCAGACAATGTTCTTGTCCTGATCCTTATCTCTGGCTGTTTTGCATGCACTCCCTTTAACAAGGATCTTGTCTAGGGTTTCCTTTGCTCCTTGAAAGCTGAGCTCTACCATCCCTTGTGAGGACTTGTTTTCTGCAGCTAATTAGCGAGCTCTGGATTTACAGGCTAATGGCTGGGCCCTCCTCACTTTTCTAGTGGTCTGTAAGAAGAACTTGGACAGCACCACCGTTGCTGTGCATGGAGAGGAGATCTACTGCAAGTCCTGCTACGGCAAGAAGTACGGCCCCAAGGGCTATGGCTACGGGATGGGAGCAGGGACCCTGAGCACTGACAAGGGCGAGTCTCTGGGAATCAAATATGAAGAGTGAGTTCAAGTCTTGTTTTCAAAACTGGGGCTGTTGTGGGCACCTTCTCCCCCACAGCTTGTGATGCTTGGCTGTGGACCCCACGCTGAACTTCCAGCGGTGTCTGATCTGGAGAGCGCCGTGGGCTGCCCTGCCTTTCTGCTCCTCGGGGGAAACCCGCTGAGCCCTATTCACAGGGTGGGATGGGGCTTGATGGGACACGTCCCTGTTGCCTGAGCATGCTGCCGGTCCCCTCTGAGCACGCAGCCTTGACGCTGAAGTTTCCATGGGGCACAACACATTGTTCCTAAAGCCCTGGGCCCTTCAAAACTGGGTTGGGATTTGTGATCGCACAGCCCTTCCCTCCTCTGTCTTGCTCGTGCAGCCCTGCTCATGAACTCCCTCCCCTCCACAGGGGCCAGCCCCACCGACCCACCAACCCTAACGCGTCCAGAATGGCCCAGAAAGTCGGAGGTTCTGATGGGTGCCCTCGCTGTGGTCAAGCGGTGTATGCAGCCGAGAAGGTGATTGGAGCGGGAAAGGTAAGAGGAGGGATGGGGTGGACAGGCACAAGGTGCTGTGTGGCAGGGAGACCACTGACCACTGCTGCAGCCAGGGCTGGGCTTGGGTCTGGTGCCGTGCTCGCCTGGAAGCCTGGCACCAAAAGGAGAGGTGGGCACATCTGGAAACCAGGTTCTCCAGGCTGCTTCACCCTTCCAGACCTGTAGACGGGAGAGAAATAACATTTTAATGTGACTATTCGGAGCACTGTTCAGCAGAGGTCACAGTGGACATCCCTTGCTACCAGATGTGTTGGGAGGATGATGGGTCTGGTGCCGTGCTCGCCTGGAAGCCTGGCACCAAAAGGAGAGGTGGGCACATCTGGAAACCAGGTTCTCCAGGCTGCTTCACCCTTCCAGACCTGTAGACGGGAGAGAAATAACATTTTAATGTGACTATTCGGAGCACTGTTCAGCAGAGGTCACAGTGGACATCCCTTGCTACCAGATGTGTTGGGAGGATGAGCGGTGATGTGGGCCATGGCTGCTGCCACTGCTACCAGAACAAGTGCAACGTCCGGCCAGCCTTCTCCACCCTCTGCCGCGGTCTGGGATGCCGCAGCCCACATTCGGGGCAGGGAACTCATTCCAGTGGTCAGAGCTGGCCATAGGCAGGGCGAGGTGGTTGGAGGTGTGGGCACGGGCTCGGTGTGTCTCTCGGGCTGTGTTGGTGGTGGACTGGGTCTGCTGAGGGTCAGCTGTAAGGGACACTCTGCAGGGTGCTTCCTATGTCAGGTTCATCACTTCACCAGGGTCTTTTGTGTCCCCAGCTGTGGCCTTGTCCTAGCCCAGCTTTGGGGAGCCATGGGGACACCTTGTGCTGTGCCAGCCCTGGGACACGGGTGAGGTCCCTGCCTTGCAGCAGCCTTCCCTTCGAGGTCGGGTACATGTGCAGAGCTTGCCAAGGGTCAGGATGCTTGGCTGTGTGCCACAGGGGCTGGGATGGCCATGCTGGGAAAGCCTCGCTGCCTCCTTGGTGACACTGGGTCACCCCTGCTCCTCCCTGGGGCTTTTGTGTTTGTCCTCTGCCCCAAGAGCAAGGACAGGAGGCATCTGGTCAACAGAAAGAGCCTCTCACAGCATCGTACCCTAGCTGGCAGTGCAGGGGTTTGTGATGGACATGTTGAGGGTCAGCCCACGGTCAGAAGCCAAACTTGCCCTTAAAATCGTGATCTGAGCTTCCTGGTAGGTTTCTGGGGTCGGTGTTTACGGGGAACCGATGCTGGCAAAGCAATTGCACTCCAGCAAACCCAGAGAGGATTCCGGAGCATGTATTTCATGTGCTAATGTTTGCTGGATGACTCCATCTGCTACCTCCTCCGCCAGCCCCCCAATTTCACATTTTCTTCCAAAAAAGGTTTCATGTTTTCCAAACTGTTTATTTAAATTCCTCTGTGAGCAGCTCTGGCTACTCTAGGTCTGCTCGAAGGCTGTGAGCTCATTTATCCCCAGAGGGCTGGCGCAGCCGTGGGGGAGTTTTATTTTTAAACACTGGCTGATTTCTGCATTCTTCCTATCTGTTTGCTGCCTTCCTTGGAGCTGTGGTTGTGCAGGGGCAGGTGTCCCAACCCTTCTGCCACCCCCCCAGGCTAATGCAGCGGATCTCAGGTGGATAACTCGGGGGATTTATCACGGTGCTTCCGAGGGGACAGTCTCCCAAGGGGGGGGGGGTTAAGGCTCCTTGCAGATTATTGTACAAATTATTGTACAAATGACTGCTGCAAGTCAGGGTGTAAGCTCTCTGAAACCAGATCAACATGGGCACAGTGACCACCCCTGATGTTTCCTCTCTGTATCTTCCCCCTGGGGCTGGGAGGACCGCTCTTGCCAGGGAAAAGCTTCCATCCCGTTCAGACCTCTCTGCTGACCGCTTTGGGTCAGAACCAGGGCTTCCAAAAGGATCTCCTCTGATAGCCAAAGCCTCGCTGCCCGTCCCCGGGCATTATCTGACTGTCTCTGCTTCTGTCCCGCAGTCCTGGCACAAGTCCTGCTTCCGCTGTGCCAAGTGTGGCAAGAGCCTGGAGTCCACCACGCTGGCAGACAAAGACGGGGAGATCTACTGCAAAGGTGAGTGCCACCGTCCCCGCTGGCCCGTCCTGCACCCCAAAGGGTGAGAACCCCTGTGGAGGGAACTGGGATGGGACTGAGGTTGGGAGGCGGTGGTCCTCCAGTTGCAGATGGGGGCTGGCTGTGGAGCCGGGGGATTTCCTGCTGTGCCTGGGGCTTCTCTGTTTGCCCAACAAATACAGCAAACCCTGTCCTGTTCAGGCAGTGCCTGCTTGGAGAGGAGGAACTGCTCCTGTTCCCT